CTCCACCCATGTTAGTTACAATACAACTTTTCCGTTTTACCCAGAAGGCATTGTTCTGAGCACGCTCTGAACGGAAAGGCAGAGTCCCTTTCTGCAACAATGGCTGTCAACATGCACACCTAAACACACAAACATGATATGTAGTTTCCTGCATTTTTGTAACCCAAAAAGTGTTTTTTTCTCATGAGGGGTCAGATGTCAACTGTGCATCGAGAGTGTGTATGATTACATGCGGTCCAAACTAAGTACACGCTTCTTAAACACACTTTGAGCCTCTTTCGCATAGAGATTCATTCCCACTGCCAGTGATTTTCTGAAATCTATGCGCGCATTCAAAGATACGTGACATCAGGATATTGATGTTAAGGTTGTGTATCTGCGATTGCTTTCGAGAAACCACGTTCGTACATTTTTTTTTTTACTGATTTGATCATAAAATAGTGCATCACGTACCGTTCAACTAAGTTGGTGAATGATCTCAGCTTCAGTGTCATCACTAAAACACACCCTTAACGGCATCAGTCCATAGCTGTCAACATTGAACATTGAAAATAAGGGAGTTTTCCCGGAATCCATCCCCAAAATAAGGGATTTTTTTTTTGCACGATTCTCACCCACAAACTTTAAAAATAAAGCACAATCCTTAAAAGTCTAAGGTGTTCATAACTAGCCTGTGTGAGAGAGAAAGAGACAGTGTCATTTAAAGGGAAAAAAAATCTACATTTGGATTAGCGTGTGTTGCTCTAGCATTTGGACAACAATTTAAACATTTAGCCTATCACACATCTTCCAAAATCCGCAAAATAGGGAAGTGGGCTGTCTGTTTATTTTAATTACATTTACACATTTTGTGTAGCTTTAAAGAGCCTATTTAGCCTGATGGTGGACCATCACTCAGAAGACACACTATCTTTATATCCTCCTATAGGCCCAGAACGTTTTTTTTTTTTCACGTTTTTTTTTCTTCTTCATGTAATCACATTGTTAAGAGCTTAAGAAACAAATGGAAAAAAAGAAAATATATTTTATTCATATATTTGAAAATCTAATTATAATAATTATTATTTGTTTAAATTACATTGATATCTGAATTTATGTAAAAACCTAGACTTTCAAACATCAAAATGTAATGTATTAATATGTATTCGAGTACAAAATTACATTCAGCTAGCCTAAACATCCTTTCCTATTTTTTATTTATTTTTTTGCCTGGAAACGCAAAGAAATTCCAGGCAAAGAAACACGCTTGCCTGTCGCGTGAAAAATAGGCGTCAGTTCTATTTCTAGCATGCACGCGTTTTCTGGAGACGCGCGTGTCACGCAGGCAGCGTGCAATAAAAACGGACACGCCACGCAGCCAGTGTGTCTCCGGCCAGCGCGCGCGGCACCGCATCCGAGGATAAACGACTTCAAGCCGAATCTGTCCGAGCCCGTACGTCTCACACAATCAGAGAGTAAAAATACGGTATATTTTACGGGAAAATACTCAAACGGGAAGACAGCGGGAAAAGAGCTAAAATACGTGAGAAACCCGGAAAAAACGGGAGGGTTGACAGCTATGCATCAGTCCCTTTGGTTCACACAGAGATCGTTCCGGGACTGATCCCAGCAATGTTACTAGGTCCGCATCCTGGGATCAATCCCGGGACGTGTTTGTGTTCACACAGAAGGCACTGCAATTTTCTGGGATCAGCGCTCTGTGTGAGAGGGGCTTAGAACAGCTGTTCTCAACCAGGAGGACAACAAACTTCCAAGGGGGCCTCAAGATCATTTAAAATAAAATAAAAACAAGCATTAAAAAAGGTTGACATAAGGTTTCCTGCACCAAAAACAGTCGAAACATATTCCACCCTCCCTGACTCCTCAGTTTTGTCTGGTAATGCTAGTCGTGCCGAATTTACACACTTTAAATCTTTAAACAGGCTGTTTTGCTGCTGTACCTTTAAGATTTCTATTGAGAAACGATCTCTGTTATGATTGTGGAACCTTTCCGTAGTGGAGAGGGCTGAAGTTCCTAAATACTGAGTAATTGTTGTGTAAATGTGGCAGATTTATGTAAATGACCTCGTTGTTGTGATGTCACAATCACAATAGCCGCCTCTCCACTGTCGGGCCAGTGCGAGACAGGGCTTTAAAGGGATAATAGACCTTATTCAGAGCAGCGCCATGACAGGTATGAAAGTGAGGCTGTGAGGGATAGACTTACCGTGTTTCCAATGGCATGGACTGTAAAAAGCTGAATAAAGCGGCTAGATTATAATCTTACAATTTTCCACAGCTTACATTGTCGGAGTTTTTTGTCAACTGACATTTCTTTGAAAGATATTTTCCAGTGTTTCATGAGCAGAACAATCCGAAAACACATTAAATAACAATACAGCCCATTGAAGAGATGCAAGTCTATCCCTCACAGCCTCGCTTTCATTCTCATTAAAAATCAAAGATGGCGCTGCCGTGAATAAGGCGTATTAATGAAAATTCTGTCAGTATTTACTCACCCTCATGTTGTTCCAACCCCGTAAAACCTTCGTTCATCTTCAGAACACAAATTAAGATATTTTTTATGAAATCTGAGAGCTGGATCACTCCTCCATACTAGTTCATAGGCTTCTTGAGGAGTTAAAACTTGCCGGTCTGAAAGTTATTAAAGACATCGTTAAAATAGTCCAAGTGACTACAGTGGCTCAATCTTAACTTTATCAAACGACAAGAAAACGTTTTGTGTGCAAAAAACAAACATAAATAACGACTTCATTTCAACTATTCATTTCCTTCTCTTTGCGCCTCTAGTCAGTTAAACTAGTGTAATTGCGTAGAGCTACGTCACACGTAGGCTCACTATTGGCCGACGCTGGTCGTGTGTGATGCGTGTGACGTACAACAACAAATCACATGCAATTACACTAGTTAAACGCATTACCGCCTCTGTTTGTAACCACTCCTCTAAGCCGAGCTTATTCGTCAGGCCAAAAAATCGCTGGCCGTTTGGTACTGAAAAGGCCCTGACGAGGCCCGATCAAGCCCTGGAAGTGACATTGGAAATGCGATTGGCCCTGGCACCAACTGGCACGTTCGCTTTTGACCTGACACTGTGGAAACACGGCTAATGATTTCTGAATGAGCTGTGCAGTTTAGATTCTGTCTAATTGTGCATGTGAGAGTATTATTTAACAGATATTACTTTGAACTAGGGGTGGGCGATATGGAAAAAATATCATATCACGATTTTTTTTGGAAAATCACGATCACGATTTTTTATCACGATTCTTTTTCAATTTGGTTTTAATATTTTGCAAGTGGCTGTTCATTACAGCCAAACTAATGTTAAAAACAAATCCTTAGGTAACAAAAGAAAAAAGAAAGGCATACATTTAGGCCAGTGGCGAAGATAAAAATCTTTGTCATTATTTTCTTTTTTTTATATTAAAAAAATAAGACAAGATAAACATTACACAAATTAATATTCAAATTAAATAAATAGTGCTTTTTTTCAGATGCAGTAGGTGTATTTAGCAGTAGCATTGAAGAAAGTAATTAAATTAACAAATATGAAATTAAAACACTACATAGACTTCACTGAATAAATTGATTCTTATTAAAGCTACTATTAAAGTTCTCAGTCAGTGAGTGATTTTCTCCTTGTGTGTTTTTTATTTTTTATTTTTTTATTAACACTAAAGGGATAGTTCCCTCAAAAATGAAAATGGTCTTAATTTACTCTCTCAAGATGTTTTAAACACGAATAAGTTTCTTTCTTCTGTTGAAAATAAAAGTTATTTTGAATAATGTGGGTAACCGAACAGTTGCTGGTCCCCCTGTTTTTTATAGGTTCTCTCCTGGAAGTTAATGGGGACCAGCAACTGTTTGGTTACCCACATTAAAAAAAAAATGTCTTTTGTGTTCAGCACAAGAAAGAAATGAATACAGGTATGGAACAATATTAGAGTGAGTAATTAATGACAGATTTTTTTTTCTTCTTCTTCTTTTTGTGAACTATCCCTTTAAGGACAAGCGGCAGTACTATTTACTTCTGTCGTTTATAGACCAGCACGCGACGCTTTTAATATAGACGCATATTACACCAGATATTCTCTCAAATGTTTGCTTTCACTTTAGACGTAGCCTGTTTATGTAAACATTGTGTGTATTTAACAGTATTAGCATAATAAGACTCGAAAGATAACTTAGTCCAGTATTCAGGCGCTGTTGACAGGCTTCTAGTGCATGTGAGCGTCGGGGGTAATTTATGCGGTCAGGAAAGCGCACGTTAGAACAGCGCATCAGCGCGTGGATTAAATGTTTAACCTTGCTTATGCAAGTAATGAACTTTTGTGAATTGCAGTGTCCCGTACCTATTCATTAACGTGTGATGTGTAGGCTACGTCGCGTTGTACAGATGAGACGGAGGCGCCAGAACTGTTCTGATAGAATGCACTGTAACACGATACTACGATATTTCTTCAAAAGCAGATCGTGGAGACATTTTAATCGTCCACGATTAAAAATCGTCATATCGCACACCCCTACTTTGAACAGGATGATAAATTAAGAAATAGCTGTGTATGTGTGTGCGTGCGCGCGTTTCTCTCTAATTACAGCCCATAAAATTCCAATTATGATAAAACCCCACAGACGGGGATTCTAGTTTATGTAATTGCCTGTGGGAGCACGTTTGTTTGGTGATGTTTATCGCCAGCAAGGCTTGTATGTGTTTATGTGTATAGTTTAATTGTGCTTATTATATAAAACGACTCTGATCTTGCATTGATTGCTGGTTGTAAGTATCCCACCCTCCTTTTTTAGTGACAGATCGTCTCTCTAAATGTATCTGATAACCAAAACAGTGCTGAGAGTTCGTCAAAGACGAAGCCTGAATGAATTTCCCCAATCGCCTCGGGTTTTTTGTTCTGTCGCAGATTTTAGGTTATGCAAAAGCTCCTTTTGATATGTACTTGTCTTGTCTTGTGAATTTATCCTTCTGTGTTTTTATTGTTTTCCAGAATCCCAGAAGTCCCACCTCTCATCTTTCACGATGAAATTGATGAAATTTCATTCCCCGAAGATTAAAAGAACTCCATCTAAGAAAAGCAAACAACTCCAGCCAGAGCCTGCAGTGAAGACTCCAGAGAAACCCGTCAACAAGGTAAAGCAACTCTACTCTTTCCTTTTGAGATCTACAGTTACTCTACCATAACTAGTCAGAATTAACTTTCCACTAACTCTATAGTTACTCTACTTCTGCTCTTCCACAATAACCATTACCTTTCCACCCTCTTACCTCTACAGTTACAACAAACTCAACCCTCTCAACTTTACAGCAACTCTACGGTCGCTCTACTGCAGCTCTATCTCAGTAAAGATGATCTCCACATCTTTTTAGCTGCAGAATAACTCCCATGCTGCTCTATCTCAACTCTGTTGCCGCTGCATTATCGCAAATATCAACTTTCCATCCTCTGTAAATAACATTTAATGTCTTTTAACAGAAGGTGAGTCGATTGGAGGAACAGGAGAAGGAGGTGGTGAGCGCTCTGCGTTACTTCAAGACGATTGTGGACAAGATGAGCGTCGATACAAAAGTTCTCCAGATGCTTCCTGGTTCAGCTAGTAAAGTTTTGGAGGCCATATTGCCTCTGATGCAGGTAGAGGCTCGGATACAGCACAGGTGAGAGTACCAGCACTAAATGTACCATGGTAACACCGTGGTAATCTTTAAAGGGTAACTAAACCCCTGGTCAGAGCCTGACTCCACCCAATGGCAATATTTGAAAATGCTTAAAAAGTGGGCGGAGATAGAGGGGACGAAATAGATGCTATAACACTCTATCCTGATCGTTTTCAATACTCACAATTCCAGTGGTTTTGACGACACAAGATGGTTTTTATGCTGCCAAGGGCTTAGCTCGCGTGGTGAGCTGAAACCTGCGTACGTCACGAGGTGCGGAACATCCAATAGGAAAATTCAACTGCAGTAGCCACCGTTCAACCTGAAGAGGGCAGCACTAAGACGTTTTTACACCATATATTGTAGAAATAAAACACTTGAATCAATGACTGGTATTAATAAAGATCCATTCTTACAGATCATTAACTAAAAAAAGTTGGTTTAGTGTTTAGTTGCTCTTTAAAATATCTACGTACTTATCTACGTCTAAGTACCATATTAAATAAGAGTGATTTTGCAGCCTCTTTCTGTTATTCTCTCTCTCTCTCTCTCTCTCTCTTTTCGCAGCTCGGCAATGTCCTCCTGTCATAACCGCGTGTATCAGAGTTTGGCGAATCTCATTCGTTGGTCCGACCAGGTGATGCTGGAGGGCATCGACCTCGACGACAAGGACACCGTGGCAACCGTCACCACGGTGATCAAAGGCGTGCTGGATGGTGTGAAGGTGAGGCGATGAGATGTGTGTTTGTGACAAGGTTAAAACAACACTGGCATATTTATAACTGGAGTGTGTGCGTTTGTAACAGGAGCTGGTGAAACTCACAATAGAGAAGCATGAGCAACCGTCCCCGACGTCCCCCAACAAACCAGCGCCTCCTGTGACCAAAGCCGAGAGGTACACTCACAAAGGCCCATATGGATTTATCAGGTTTGCATAGAGATTGTTTAATAATGCTTCTCTCTCTCTTTCTCAGTGTGTGTGAAAATCCTCTAACTGAGCGAGAGAAGGCGATCCTGAGTAAGACCACGCCCATTGCCACGCCCACCGACAGCTTGACGGACATGTCCGAGGAAGAGGCTCCGCCCAAACCTCCTCTACCGGGACTCAAACTGGCAGAGCACAGGTATGACAGCGTGATTTTGAAATCTGAAATTGTTGTTTGTGGTTTCTGAAAATGAAAAAAAGAACTGATGGATTCTCAAGACATTTTTAAAAGGCATATTAAAAAGATTATTTTGGGTTAATTTTTCATGCTTTGAAATCAAACAGTCTGTTGCATTGTAGGATTGCTTTCTGCTCAATTGCAGTTGGTCATCAACGTATTCCATACATTCACTGAATACAAAGTGAAAACTGCAAGCGTAGTGAATGTTAGGCTAGTGTGCCATTCCAAACCCAGACCTTCCTTTCGGTTCTGTCTCAAATCATTTGATACCTCATTGTTTCCTTTACAGCCAACAGATTAAGGTAAATACGCTTGTGTGTAGTGTGTAGGATGCATTGATGAGGCGAACATCAAGTATTCTTTAGGTGTGCGCTGTAGTGTATACTCGGGAGTATATTAGCGTGCACTAGGCATTGAGTAGTGCAGTATGTAGTATATTTATTTAGTGATGGTAATTTATGTCATGTTCATTTATTCTTCTTTCTTCACAAGTATCTAAATATATTTGAATGAAAACACATCCGATACACACACACACATTCATATGACTGCATCATCTCTCAAAGGCGTTTGGCTTCTGAAGTTTTTTCATTGACTTTTTGTCTGTAATTAGAGACATGCAGGTAGTAACTGTATCATACATACTTTCTGTGAAGGGGAATTACAGATGGTTGAGTTATTTTGCTGTCTGATGATAAGAGGTGTGTGTGGAGGGTGAATGAGATCATGTTAGCTATAGACTTTAGTTAGAATACATGGCATACTTAATTTAACATCAATGAAAACAAGCTGTAGTTCATTCAGAATATCACAATTCTTAAGGTTACATTTAATTCTAACTAAGTTTTGCAATGGAAATGTGTGTAAATGCTCATTTTCAATTACGTATTAAAAATGGGCTGATATTTAGGTATTTTATGATTAACACAATTTCAATTTATTTTTATATGTGAATTCAGTTTATATAATCTAAGTTAATGGTCATTTATTGTTAATATTGAAATTATTTTGCATCATTTTATCTGAATTCTATTGCTATTTTTTAAATGCCTCATCCATATGCGTAGCTATTTTTTTGTTAAAAAAAAAACAAAACTTTTTTTTTTAAACCTTTATAATAAAATAATGTACATAGAAAAACAAATGTTTGTTTTGTGCTCATATTTTAGTGGAAAATACCCAAAATTAAATACCTGATTAAGTGGAAAACTCTAAATATCTATAAAAATTTCAAAGCGTTTGTCAGCATATCTCTATATTAGGGCTGTGCAAAAATTAATTGCGATTAATCGCATACAAAATAAAAGTTTACATAATATATTTGTGTGTGCTGTATATAATTATTTTGTATATATAAATACACACACACACATGCATGTATATATTTAAGAAAATGTGTTATTCATATATAAAATATTTATATTTATATAATATAGATTATGTATTTATATATATATATATATATACAGAATTTAAGCGCAAATAATTCTTAAATATATACATGCATGTGTGTGTATTTATATATACAAAATAATTATATACAGCACACACACACACACACATATATATATATATATATATATAAATACATAAGAAAATATATATAAATAAATATATAATAATATATATACAAATAAATATATATTTAAGAAAATGTGTTATTCATATATAAAATATTTATATTTGTATAATATAGATGATGTGTGTGTATATACATACAGAATTTAAGTAGAAATAATTCTTAAATATATACATGCATGCATAGGTATTTATATATACAAAATAATTATATACAGCACACACAAATATATTATGTAAACACAGACTTTTATTTTGGATGCGATTAATCGCAATTAATTTTTGCACGTGATATCGGCCATCAGCCACCCTGCGCTCTAGATTTTGCTTAACCGTAGCCATTGTTAAACCCACAGCTCAAGATATTGAAGGAACTGTATGTCCGTCTCTCTCTGTCTGAATTAAATCTGGCATCTCCTCTAATTAATGTCTCTTTGTTTGTTTAGCATTTCAACCACTTTATCTGTTTCCCTCTCCATCATCTTTGTGTCCCTCAATCACACATCATCTTTGTCTTTCTGCATTTTCTTGTTTTCGTCCATTTTTTTTTCTGGTAATGTTTGTTCATCTTCTTCCTCTGTACTCTGTGATCGATTGGTTGTCATGGGACAGGAACAGGATGCAGTTGTGCTCCGATCCTGTTGCCGGGCAGAGGAGGGCCACGGCGATGGAAACGTACGTTAGCCAATGGTGTACTCCTGTGTGCATTTTGACATCACACGGTTACACCCCTCGGCCTCTCTGATTGGACGGTGGCCCTTACCTGCATGTGGTTGTGTGGCATTGTGCGTCCAATTGGAGTGAAGACCAATCAGAGGAAAGCCTGATTGCATGGCTGACCAATGAGGCATAGTCTATAAATCCTAAAAGAATGTGAATGGAATTCCCGTCAATCTTAAAGGATCCTAAGGGGGATAATTTTGTAATAAATAATTGTGAAGTTGTAACGAAAACAAAGTTTATTGGAATATAACTTTCACGCTTATGTGTTACTTACTGTTAATTTTATTCCAGTGCAGTTTTCAATAGGAATATCATAATTATCAATTCATGCCTCATAATTATATTCCTAAAATCCTATAGGATCTGACTTAATTCTTAGAATATTCTAATTTAACCCTTTTGCAAGTTCCAAATTTTAATACAAATTCCAAATGGAATCCTGTGCACATTCCTTCAGGATTTTTTGCCTAGAGATGCATCCCGCTCTAATCCTTCCCACTGGGTGTTCTATGATTAGTTTATTCTAATGTTTCCATGGTTACCTGGTAGAGCTTCATTGAAGTGAAGAATCGTCAGGGAAACCCAAGATCCGAACTCACCGCCCACACATTCCACTGCTGTGCTACTTTTATGTGTGTGTTATGTGTGAGTGTGTCCAATTAAATTCCTGGCTAGACCCTCGCTAACTGTGTGTAGACTGTCTGTGCTCGTTTCTTTTGACCTTGTTACATTGTTTGTTTCATACTTGTGAGCTCATTTGCATATTTATGCATATTGTGCCCATAGCCCGCCCGCTCTGCCTCCCAAGAAGCGACAGTCGGCCTCCTCCCCCACGCGTGTTGCCGTGGTAGCGCCGATGAGTCGAGGATCATGTGGTCACAACTTGCCTCCTGGAGCCCTGAGACAGGTACGGCTCCTGGTCATGGCCCTTGAACTTTGACCTTTTGTAACAACCCTAATTTTGATTTCTTAACTTAAAAGTGAAGTATTGTTAACTGAAACCATTGAAAGCATTTTTTTTAAATTGAACTAAGGTAAAATAAAATATAAATATTTGATTAAAAAAAACTAAAACTAAATGAAACTAAACTGAAATCATTTTAAGCTGAAGTACTAAAATTCAAATAATAACTATAATAATAAATATATAGAAATATTCGTGCTGTCAAATCGATTAATTGCATCTAGCATAAAAGTTTTTAAATATATATGTCTATATATATATATATATATATTTACAGTGTGTGTGTGTATATATATATATATATATATATATACACACACATATATATTATAAACAGACACACACACACACACACGCGTATTTACATATACTCAAATAACTTTTGTTAGATGCAATTAATTGATTTGATAGCACTAATATAAAGAAAAATCAGAAATTTATGAAACAAAACTAATACATTTAAAAAAAATATTTTTAAAACAAAAAAAATATTTAAAAAAATAAAATTATACATTTATGAAATGCAAAAATAAAGAAAATACAATTAAAGTGGAAACTGATATAAAAAATAAAGCACATTTTTATATTGTGTATTTTCACATGACTGGAGCGCTGATTTGACCAATCAGCATTCAGGATTGTAATGATCTGTTTAATAATTGGAAATCACCTATGACACCATTAATTAATAAGCAATACATTTATTAACATTAATTAATAAAAGTAATATATTTTTAATTAATTAATTTAAATTAATGTTAATTTCATATTCTGTTTTTATTTATTCATTTAATAGTATTTTACCATTAGCCCTGTAGTTATTTTACTTTAAATGCGCTGCTTTAGAAATACAAATGTGCATTTTTCTGTCATGCCAATAAAGCAGACCAAACTGAAAAAAATGCCATTTCAAAAGAGCATTAAACATCCTCATAAAGACTAATTCCAAAACCATAAGGGTTTTCCATGTCATTGTGATGTGCTTATTGCATGTTGTGTGGTTAAAGCAGCAGGAGTTTGATGTGGATCTCCTCCAGAGGCGTTTCTCCGGCGGGAGCCAGTCGTACGGTGGAGATTCGCCCCGTCTCTCTCCCTGTAACAGTATGGGAAAGCTCAGCAAGTCCGACGAGCAGCTCTCTTCACTGGAGCGAGACAGTGGGCAGTGCTCTCGCAACACTAGCTGTGAAACACTAGGTATACACACACTATTACACGGTTTCTTCTCCATTTCTGTCACCTGATGGAGTTTGGGTTCCTTGTCACGATCACCTTTGGCTTGCTCAGTTGGGCTTTAAAAGACATATAAATATCATCGATTTTTGACACTATCAGATGTGACAACACTTGAATCTGAATTGAGCTCAACTGTCGCTACACTGTTGTCTTCTGTAGAGCTGCTTTATAGCTGAATCGAATTTGAGTCCATAATTAACACATTTTTCAACATCGACACTGTTATTAAATCAACATTGAACTGATTATAGCCGAATAATGTCACTATTGTCTTCTCTAGCGCTGAATTGAACTCATTTCACAATTAACGAACTTCACACAGTTATTGAACTGAAGTGGATCAACACTGTTGATCTGTCGAGAGCTGTTTTATTGCAGAATGTTATTTCTCTTTGTATAAGAGCTACATGAATAATGACTTCACTTTTATGAATGCTTAAGTAAAAGCTGAAGGTTTTTGTAAGCTTACCTTGATTTGATACTTTGCTTTTTTTTCTATAGAGGGATACGATCCTGATTACGACTTCCTACATCAGGATCTGTCCGTATCCGACCCCTTACCGTTTCCCACCGCCACTGTCAGCAATCTGAGCCCTCTCCCAGAAAGCCACGGGGAGTCTCAGTCATTAAGCCCCGCCCAGGCCCCGCCCACCCACCCGCGTTTCAGTGCTCCCATCACCAATCAGGCTTCCCTGGAGTACTGGACTCCGCCCCTCACACCTGGACAGACCAATATGGTGCATCCACCCGCCCTCCCCCAGAAGAAGCGACGATCCGCACCCATCTTATCGGCGTACCCTCTTTACGAGCGCCTCCCATCGCATTACGATAACCTATCAGAAGAGGAGCAGCCCACGCCACCGTTCCCGCTGGTGACACCAGGGTCGCCCCTTCCTCAGGTCAACGGTGGAGACGAACTCTCACAGTACACAGACGCCGACAGCCCGCCGCCGCTACCAGAGAAGAAGGGCAAACAGAGTAAGAGAAAAAGCCGATTTTTAATGAACAAGTGAATCTCATCCAGGAACACGCCTGGGTCTTATTTCACCCCACAAAAAAGATGTAATATATTATTATGTTGAAAATGAAGCCATTTTTTAGGACCTTTAGGATTTCTATGCATTGCCACATTGTCACATGACCCTTATTATTCAGATTTGGTCCTCAATTTTTATTAATGTTGGTGCTTGTTTATCAATAATGTTTCTTCTTATTATCAATGTTGCTTGCTTAAAGGAGTAGTTCACTTTTAAAAAAAACTTTGGCTGATAATTTACTCACCCCCATGTCATCATCCAAGATGTCCATGTCATTCTTTCTTCAGTCGAAAAGAAATTAAGGTTTTTGATGAAAACATTCCAGGACTCTCCTGTTCAAACTCGTTTATCAAAATGAACGAATCTTTTCCCGAGTCAACTCGTTCATTTTGTTCGTTGAATGAACCAAATGACTTGGAAAAAGATTTGTTCATTTTGATAAACGAGTTCGAACAGGAGAGTCACGAACGTGCGTCACAGAACAGAGCAAGGCGAGCGTTTGAGCTCATAAAACTTAAACTTTGTTATTTATTTATTTATTTATAAAATGAGCGATCATTTCGCTTGATAAGACCCTTATTCATCCTCTGGAATCGTTTAATGCACTCATTCTGTAACGCACTCCTGTTTGAACTCGTTCATCAAAATGAACAAACCTTTTTCCGAGTCATTTGGTTCATTCGGCGAAAGAAATGAACAAATTGATTCGGAAAAAGATTTGTTCATTTTGTTGAACGAGTTTGAACAGGAGAGTCATGACCGTGCGTCACAGAACAGAGCAAGGCGAGCGTTTGATCTTATAAAACTTAAACTTTGTTATTTTTTTAAAAAATGAGCGATCGTTTCGCTTGATAAGACCCTTATTCATCATCTGGAATCGTTTAAAGCCCTTTGAACAAGTTTGCAGTTTGTACTGAAAGTTTCATTTGGACCTTGAACCGTTTGGTTCCCATTGAAGTCCATTATATGGAGAAAAATCCTGGAACGTTTTCATCAAAAACCTTAATTTCTTTTCGACTGAAGAAAGAAAGACATGGACATCTTGGATGACATGGGGCTGAGTAAATTATCAGCAAAAGTTTTTTGAAAAGTGAACTAATCCTTTAAACAGATATTTTATACAGTAACAATATTTCCCAATACCACTGTTTTTACTGTATTTTTGATTAAATAAATGCAGGCTTGGTGAACATAAGAGACTTGTTTAAATGATTAATTGATTATTAAAACATTTGATCGGTAGTTTATACTGTTTTTCAGTCATTTTTTATTGTGATACAGAATTCAAAACCAAGCAAATTCCTCTTTTTTCATGTTTAACTTAGTTTTTTCTCTGCAGTTCTGCAGTACATGCAGTTTGTGGAGGATTATTCGGAACCGCAGCCGTCCGTCTTCTACCAGACGCCTCAGAGCGAGAGTATTTACGAGCAGCGGAGGAACAAGCGCTTTCAGGAGGTTTACGGCTTCAACGAATCCTACAGCAGCTCAGACTCTGTGCATGAGGCCATCCCACCGCCAGCGCTGCCGCCCAAACAGAGACAACTGGTGAGTTATAATCCAATGCATGGTATCAGTGACCTGTGCCCAAGGGCATTGAGCATGGGGCAGGTCAAAGGTTAAGCTCTGAGAGGTGAGAGGTCAAACTGGGTTCTTTAGATTAGGCCCCATGTGACTGGTCTGGTGGACACGACAGGGTCACTGTAAAGTCAAGTGGAAAACACGGATTAGCTATGTTTTTTTTGCTTTTTGTAAAAGTGGTACAGATTAGATAAGATTCTTTACCACACCGGAACTCTCATGCTGTGGGGAATTTCTTTTCTATTTCAATGGTCCACTCAACTAACTCTCATTAGAGTATTAGTAGTTAGTTAGGATAAGTTGACGTACTTTAAAGTTACTTTTAGTGAGGAGAATGTCTGTTGGGGAGCATCAGAATAAAGTGTCATCAGATTTTAAGCTGACTAATACTCTAATGCAGGGCTTCAATTGGCGGTCAAATTGTCAAAATTGTATTTTGTTAAAAAAAAAAAGATTATTTCATATCTTAGAATTATGACTAAACTATGGGGCCTGTACCATGATGGTAGTTGAACAAACTCAGGGTTGCAGGATTAGTTTCGAGTTGACAAAACCAAACCAATCCAACCAGGCTTTGTTGGTACCATGATGCTGATCATGACCTTTCTCTGTCAACTCAGGCTTTTGACATCAGTAGCGAACAGCCAATCACATGCTGAGAAAAAGTGATACTCATTCAAAACTCATTGAAATTCACAGCAAAATTCACTCAAAAATTCACTCAAATTTACACAGCAAGAAGAAAATAGCTGTCTATGAAAGAGGACAACTAAAAGAAAAGGTCTTGCTATATCAGTGCAAGTAAAAATTGTGAAGTTAGTTTATACAGTTGATAAAAGTATAGAGAATTGAACATTTAAGCTCATTTTATAGCTTCATTTGAAGGGTATTGATTCTAATTGGGTATTGACATTGATTCTTGAGGGTATTTATATTATCTTTATATACAAATTCATTTAAAATCTGTGTAATAATAATTTATGAACTGAAATTGTACATGTGAGATTGTTTAAGGGTATCCACAAGTTTCCTACGCCCCATGAGGCCTTGCGTCAAAAGTGGGCGCGACTTCCGGTTTGAAGTAAACAAAGCGCTACTTGACATGCTTGACACTCGTTCATTCAACAGTTGACAGTCATTCAAGTTATAGCCATCCAAACTAGCTAACGATGTGGGAACACAACCTCAACGAAATTAAAAAGGGTGAAATAACAGCGCCTTTATCCTCCGCAGTAGTTGATTGGGAGTATTATAATAACATTATTAAATATAGCTGCAAGCAGCCATTACCGGGGCCAAGCGCAATAAGCGGCAACATATGCCAAAATGGCAAGGAGTGGCAGACCAACTGCAGCAAGGAGCAATTAAGGGCATTTTGAGCGAACTTTGGGCAAATGGCTAAGAAAATCACATAAACATTAACTTATAAGATGATTTAATGGATTATCACTTTCGAACAATAGGTGGCGCAGTTACGAAATAGATGTGATGTGGTCAGAGTGAGGTGACAATGACACATACAAAGTTTGGTGTCAAAATGTGAAGGCATTGCAGAGATAAAGCCTAAATAGTCATTTTGGCAGCATGCCTCAAATTTGATGCTGTGGTATACGAAAACGGTTTTGTCTATCGTCACGCAATCCATATCTTTTATTCGGCACCGTCTGGAGATGATACGATTCAATTTTCGTGAAAATCGGACAAACGGTCTAGGAGGAGTTCGAAAAAGAAGGTTTTTCAAAGAAATAAAGATGGCGGACAGGAAGTTTGGCTGATTATGCAAAACCATATATCTATGTTTTCAGCATAACCCAAGGAATCAATTAAGATCAGTTTCATTGCAATAGGCACATTTTTTTTCAAACGTTATTAGCGTTTTCAGAAATTAATTATGACTTTTGACCAACAGGTGGTGCTGTCTCAAAATCTTTTGAGTACCTTCAGGGCATGCTGCTTATGGCACACACTGAGTTTTGTAATATTACACCAATGCATTTGTTTAGCATAGCATTTTATTTCACAAAACTCTATTGAAGTCAATGGGAATTTCACGTTTTGTTCTATTATAGCGCCACCAAGAGGCTCAGTCCCACAATTTTTTGTATGTGTCCTCAGGGTGACCCCATACATATGTGTGTCAATTTTGGTGCAAATATCTCAATTTACTTCCGAGTTATAAACATTTATATGAAAAAACACGTAAAAAATGACTGACACATGACTTTGTTTGAATTTTACTACCCCTTACTATCAATATTTTCGCATTTGGGCATTAGCGTATAGTTAACAAGCTATGATTCCGTGTTTCTGGCGGTGGTTTCGTCTCGATCGGAACAGCGGTTTTGAAGATATCGCCAAGTGTTTTTTTCGCGCTAAATCGCAACGCTACGCCATCCGTGAGACGAAACCCGACATATTTGGTATCGTTGGACTCGGCAACGATTCAGGACCTCAAAAATATGACTCCCGTGAAAATAAGTGTACCACACCCAAAGTTATAAGCGTTTGAATAAAACAATTCACCACTAGGTGGCGCTGTTTCGAAACTTCTCAGGCTCCTTCAGGGCATCGTACTGATGACCCATACCGAGTTTCGTAACAATTCGTTCATGCGTTCAAAAAATACAGCATTTTAGCACATAATTCAAAATGGCCGACAGCCAAAATGGCCGATCTGGGAAAATTGGATATCGGTCGACTCGGCATGATGCCCTGAATCTAACGAGATGAAGTTTATGATTTTTGGACAAACCGTTCAGAAGTTACGAGCAAAAATAGCCATTTTTCATATCTCCGGACCACTAGGTGGCACTGCGCCGAAACGCAGCACGTAGCCTCAGGTCATGCTTGTGATGACACGTACCAAGTTTGGTCTGAAAACGAGTAAGCGTTGCGGAGATACAACCATACGTCTGTTTTCGCAAGCGCTACGTAAATTTTGTTTACGCGTTAATCGAAAACGGTTATTCGAATCATCTTGAATTCCATAACTTTTTGTCAGCACTGCCTGGAGATGATCCGGTGCGATTTTGGTGAAAATCGGACAAACCGTCTAGGACGAGTTCGCAAAAGTAGGTTTTTTGGAAAATTCAAAATGGCGGCCGTTTTTTTATGACGGAAAATGACGTCATAGGGTGCGATCGAATCGGCATGAGCTCAGGAACAAGAGGAAAAAAGAATTTTGTTGATAGGCCTTACGGTTCAAAAGTTATTAGCATAATAAAAGTGAAACTTTGGACAGTTGGTGGCGCTAGAGGGAATGAGTTAGAGACACCAAAATTGGTGTATTTAAAGTTGGGACTGTCCTCTATCAGAATGTCAAACCAAAACAACTTTCCCGCAAACCGGTCTATGGGCTGCCATAGACGCCCAGTCGGAAGAAGAATAATAATAATAAATATAGCTGCAAGCAGCCATTACCGGGGCCAAGCGCAATAAGCGGCAACATATGCCAAAATGGCAAGGAGTGGCAGACCAACTGCAGCAAGGAGCAATTAAGGGCATTTTGAGCGAACTTTGGGCAAATGGCTAAGAAAATCACATAAACATTAACTTATAAGATGATTTAATGGATTATCACTTTCGAACAATAGGTGGCGCAGTTACGAAATAGATGTGATGTGGTCAGAGTGAGGTGACAATGACACATACAAAGTTTGGTGTCAAAATGTGAAGGCATTGCAGAGATAAAGCCTAAATAGTCATTTTGACAGCATGCCTCAAATTTGATGCTGTGGTATACGAAAACGGTTTTGTCTATCGTCACGCAATCCATATCTTTTATTCGGCACCGTCTGGAGATGATACGATTCAATTTTCGTGAAAATCGGACAAACGGTCTAGGAGGAGTTCGAAAAAGAAGGTTTTTCAAAGAAATAAAGATGGCGGACAGGAAGTTTGGCTGATTATGCAAAACCATATATCTATGTTTTCAGCATAACCCAAGGAATCAATTAAGATCAGTTTCATTGCAATAGGCACATTTTTTTTCAAACGTTATTAGCGTTTTCAGAAATTAATTATGACTTTTGACCAACAGGTGGTGCTGTCTCAAAATCTTTTGAGTACCTTCAGGGCATGCTGCTTATGGCACACACTGAGTTTTGTAATATTACACCAATGCATTTGTTTAGCATAGCATTTTATTTCACAAAACTCTATTGAAGTCAATGGGAATTTCACGTTTTGTTCTATTATAGCGCCACCAAGAGGCTCAGTCCCACAATTTTTTTTATGTGTCCTCAGAGTGACCCCATACATATGTGTGTCAATTTTGGTGAAAATATCTCAATTCGCTTCCATGTTATAAACATTTATATGAAAAAACGCGTAAAAAATGACTGACACATGACTTTGTTTGAATTTTACTACCCCTTACTATCAATATTTTCGCATTTGGGCATTAGCGTATAGTTAACAAGCTATGATTCCGTGTTTCTGGCGGTGGTTTCGTCTCGATCGGAACAGCGGTTTTGAAGATATCGCCAAGTGTTTTTTTCGCGCTAAATCGCAACGCTACGCCATCCGTGAGACGAAACCCGACATATTTGGTATCGTTGGACTCGGCAACGATTCAGGACCTCAAAAATATGACTCCCGTGAAAATAAGTGTACCACACCCAAAGTTATAAGCGTTTGAATAAAACAATTCACCACTAGGTGGCGCTGTTTCGAAACTTCTCAGGCTCCTTCAGGGCATCGTACTGATGACCCATACCGAGTTTCGTAACAATTCGTTCATGCGTTCAAAAAATACAGCATTTTAGCACATAATTCAAAATGGCCGACAGCCAAAATGGCCGATCTGGGAAAATTGGATATCGGTCGACTCGGCATGATGCCCTGAATCTAACGAGATGAAGTTTATGATTTTTGGACAAACCGTTCAGAAGTTACGAGCAAAAATAGCCATTTTTCATATCTCCAGATCACTAGGTGGCACTGCGCCGAAACGCAGCACGTAGCCT